TATATAAATATATTTTTTATCAAAGGGGCGCAAAAGAGTTCTATTTGCAGTGTGGCAAAGGCAGAGGCAAAAAAAAAAAAAAAGAAATTAACGCCCGGTGCAGACAGGCGTGCAAAACAATTATGCAACCGTACAAAAGGAAAAGAAATGAAAATGAAAATGAAAACAACAACAACAACAATGGCAACAACAATACAAACATTGAACAAGCAAACAGGCAGGCTGACAGGATTAAATAGGGATTACATAGGTTAGATGCACACAAACAAAACACAAAAGATAGAAAGTTAGCTAGATAGATAGATAGAACTGGGCATACGTACGATCTGTCAATGAGTATAGAGGCCTCCTGGTCTTTAAACCTGCAAAAGGGTTACAATAATAAACAACGATAATAGTACGAATAACAATCATAAGTCGATAGGCTTAAGAGATAGTTAAAGAAAAGCTAATAAGTACGAGTACGCAGCACATGTAAGCGATTGCCAGCAATCGACTTGGGACAGACAACACAAAACTTATATAGAAATTAGGCTAAAACGAAACGAAACTAAGGAGCAGAAAACAATAAACTATAAATAAACACGTAAGAGTTCTCTAGTCGGTAGTGCTCGACTAGGGAATACCCTGAACTCTGTGCAGAGTTGTTATGCTAAGCATTTGAGGCACGATAGAGCTGTACAGCTGTAAATAGTTGTTCAGCCCATACCACCAGGTTGCCAGAATACAAAATATATAGAGTCTCAGAACCCATTACAGCTGAGAGCTTCCATCTACACTTATAATACCAAATCGAATGATCGACTTTTATCGATAACGAGGAAATCGAATGAGTTATTGAGAACAAAAATGATAGTCGTAGTGCCTATATTTATATGTATTTATTTATACAGGAATATTTCACAAAACTACTATACTATGATCTCCCTTTTTTGATGGGTTCTGGATATAAAAATACAATTTGATTTTTGAGCTTTTCTAGACTTACAGACGAACAGACATAGCTAGCTCGACTCGGCTCATCCTACCAGTAGCACAGAGTTCAGGGTATACCGACTTATTCAACTAAAAGTTTTTCCTATTTTCCAAGACTTGAAAATTTGTTTGTCTTTTTTTTGGCCTTTCAATTTTAGTTGTCGCTTTGCATAAATAATTGACGCTTATTTTATTATGTTAAGCTAAATGCAAATAAAAAGGTGAACATAAACTGTGTGAATGGGTCTGTCTTTCTCTCTGATTGCGTATGTGTATGTGTGCGTGTGTATGTGTGCCTGTGTGTGTGTGTGTGCTTGTCTGTGCGTGACGCCCTAAGGTATGCAATGAGTGGCAAATGGGATTGAAGCAGCTTAATTGAGACATCACGTGCAGCAGTTAAACGATATGTTCATGGCTTAGCAATGTGTGGCAAGGGTCGGGCTAAGCAGTGGCTCGTTGGCAGCCACAGCTACAACTACAGCCACAGCTACAGGCATAGTCATAGTCACAGTCACAGTCACATTCGCAGTCACCGTCACAGTCACCGCCACTGACGTAGACAATGCGACGGCAATGACCCCGTCGGCAATTGATAGATAAGCGACTGGCTGCTCGGGGGCCATGCCATGACGTCATTCTGTTGCGCACGTCACAACTGCAGTCGCAGTGGCCTGCACACAAAAAGTCGAAGTTGAAGTGTTGACATTTAACAAAAAAAAAAAAAAAAAGAAAGAAAAACAACAACAACACACACACACACTGACACACACGCACACATGGCAGTTGTGTGTCTCTGACTTGCATTTTAAACACTTTGCAAATGCCAACGGCACAAACAAACACAGAACAGCACAACGCCCACTGGCCACGCCCCAGCTAGCGTTATTTTTTTTTTTTTTTTTTTTTTTTGCAAACGTGCTGCGTGCTCACTCTCGCACTCTGTGTGTGTGTGTGTGTGTGTCTCGTTTGTGGTGTTTGCTGCATGTTCCACAATCGAGCTGGCAAACACACCTGCTTTTTTCGCCTTGGCATTTAACGCAAATTAACGCCTGAATGGCTTTCAGCATTGGGGCCCTGCTATCAATTGCTTTTGAGCTCGTCCAGCACTTTGATCCATCTGCAATTAACGTGCGCTTGCCACGGCCACAACGTCTGCTTGTGATGCCAACTGATTTGTAGTTGCCGACATTGAGCTGATTTTTTCAGCTGCCTACGCAGAGATAAAGGACTACAAGAGTTGAAGCTGTTCTAGTTGAACGACTGGGAAATACCCTCTGTATAACGAGCAATTATTTCTAATATACTAGGCATTCTAGGAATCTATATAGATTGGCTAGGATATTACAAGTTTGTTATCGATTTAATCTATTTATCATACAAGCTATCGATTATTGCATATAAATTTGATATGCCTGATATATAAGTGAAGCCGAAAGCCTTGTTAAACCTTTTCACTATCAGTAATATTTCTCTATTTGAGTTTGTAGAGCTTTTAACTTGATATCGATTTAAATTATTTTGAAACTCACAATTAATCGATTACTTCTGATTTGTTTGATAGGCTGGGCATATTTCAATGCTATCATATGGGGTTGTTCTCTATTTGAATTTAGCATTAATTTATATATTAAAACTTAAGCTTTTCACCAGAATCTTGAATCGATGCAATGGCATGATAACAGGTCAAAGATCAAAGAGGCGAAAATTTCAGGTACTCTGCAAGCCTTTTATGATGTGCTTTCGTAGTTCATATATAATGCCATAGCCGAACCATTAACATTGGGCATAAGTCCACTGGGCTCTTGAGCTTATTTTTCTCATTTCCTAAGCAAATTGTGGATGATATTTTCACATAAACAGAAGTATTATGAAATTATTTGGAATGCCTGATAATGCCGCAAGTTTCACTTTATCAAACAAACTTTTAGCTTATCAAATCGAAATTGAAATTAAAGTCAACTTCCTGCCTCGAAATCTTGATCTCTTGATCAAATTTATTTGCCATCAAGGTAAAAACAATTTTTTTTTCAACTCAGGTTTAGCATAACCTTTAAGATCCTGAACAATGTATCTATTATTAAAGTATATATATCATAGATACGTCTGATATATATAGAATAATTTCAATCAACCGCTTCTGATCTTAATCTGCCTCGAATCGTTTTGATCGAAACTTAATATCAAATGTTGGTCAAAGTTTTGCAAGTTTTTGCTATTTATTAATCCATTTAGCTCTCGCATTTAACTAACATATTTAATTGAATCATTTCTGATGCTGCTGGTGCTGTTGTTGCTGTTGTTATTTTGTTGCCCTTGATATTTGCCAGCCGCAGTCAGTCAGCTAATTATTTGTTATTAGTGTTGAAATCTTTATGAAATTTTCACTCAACTTGTTCGTTGTCGTTGTCATGACAGCTAAGCTGGGGCCAGTCACTGCCAAAGTATAAGGTATATATAACCGAGTGTACGTGTGTGTGTGTGTGTGTGTGTGTGTGTGTGCTTGCAATTGACAGGCTCATCAACAACATTGTTTGAAAGTGGCAGACTGGCAGACGAGGGAACTGCGATATGTCTCACCAAAAATATTCAAGTTGATTGAAAGCAAACGCAGCGAACGGACCCCGGTATATACGCTCTAGAAGACGACGTCCGACAGCCAGCAAATGTCTAAGGGATGGACGGGGTCGAAGGGGCCTAGGGGCCTAGGGGCGTAGGGGCGAGGCGTAACTAGAGGCCTGCCAAAAACTTTAAAGCAGACCCAAAACTTTTTGGCCTGGCCCAGTCAGGCCGAAACAGCAGCACCAACAACAACAACAACAACAACAACAATGAAAAAAGTGTATATAAAGAAAGCCAAAAGAGAAATAAATGCAAATTGCGTTGCTGTCGCTGCCAAATGGCCGAAAAGGGAGCCAAGCAATATACCCGAAAATACCAAAAATACCGAAAATACCAAAAGAAAAAAATATGTATTTATTTCAACTATGTATAATTAAATCGTTGCTATGTTCTAGGCCGTGGGCCACTGCACTTGGGCAGAGGACCGGGGGAAGGGGCACAGGCCCCAACTTTGGCCAACCATGTTTTGTATGACACAAAGACACTTTCACTTTGAGTCCAATAACGGCGCCTGTATACGGCCCCTATGTGCTAGCTTAGATTATATAATGTTTATGGCCAGCACATAGTTGAGGTTGAATCGAACTGGGGTGTTCAGAGTGTAAGAATTGTGGGTGTAGTAGTAGTGGTAGTTGAATAATATGGGGGTAACTCAATATAAATAGTTCTAGACCTGAGTCTAACCTGTCACTATCATCTCTCATCCAACTTAGGTCTTATTATTAATGTTGGCATAGAATTTTCTTTGGATAATATGAGGGTCACTGAATCTATGTCTAGACCTGGGTCTAGGTTTTCCTTATGATCTATAATCCTGCAGTCAATTAGGCTGCACATCACATAGGTCTATATGATCCATCATGATCCTTATGATCCATCATCCAGCTTAGGTGTATTCCGAGTATCTTATGGGACAGTTTATATTTGTCTTAATTGTTTATGTGGGCATAGATATTTTGTTGGATAATATGTGGATAGCTCAATGTAGGTCTAGATCAGGGTCTAGGTTATCCTTATTATCAATCATCCAAAATATGTGTAGCTCTAAGTTTTTATGGGATTGTTTCTAATAGATAAAATTTTAGTTGGTTAATATGGAGGTAACTCAATGTAGGTCTAGATCTGGGTTTTGATTAACCCTTTGACCTACAATACAGCGATCAATTAGGCTGCATATGATACAAGTCCACATTGACATTATGACCTATTCAGCCGTCAATCAGGACATCAGCTTATAGTAATATTCGATTCTGATTATCACAAATAAGCAAGTTCGACAATAATTGCTTAGAGTAAAACATTTAGTTTAAGCATTTGAAGCTATACATCAAACATCAAAACGGAAGAACAAAGAGAGACATTTATACAGTGGGTAAGAGAAGTAAGTTTACGCACATCCAAAACTGTCATTCATTTGTATGAAACATCAATGATAGCATAAGGTCTTCAAGAATTACAAGATATGCAGAGAGAGAGCCAGCCAGAGACAGCGATAGAGATAGGGATAGCTCAAAGTTAAAAGAAATAGATAGCCAGAGCAGTGATAGAGATAGGGATAGTTCAAAGTGAAATTAAATCAATATGAGTTGAGAATGCTGATCCATGATAGCTGTGAACTAGATCTAAGCGCTCTAGCTGATAGCTATAGCCAACACTCTTTTGATAGTGTATTAGCAATGTCGTTGCTTTTGCTTTGATGGGCGAAACGCTTCAGCTTGAGTGGCTTGAGGGAATGGGGGCGATTGAAGTGTGCGAGGGCCTTAAGTGTTTTGCGGTCCAAATATTTTTGCAATTTCTCATCTGCGTTTTGCGCGATATATTTTGGCGCTTTGGCCTTTGAGACGGCAGGCGACTAGAGTGCCAAGAGTCGTGTAAAAATAGCTGTAAAATTCTTCTCTGCTCAAGGTTGCATTTGGCCGCTGACCAGATGCCCAGCTAATTCCATATGGTGGTGCTCTGGCCTGTTTTGTTTTCGGATTTCGGATTTCTGTTTTCTGTTTTCAGTGTTGTGTTTTGACTTTTGACATGATGCTACCTGATGCTTTGATATCGTTCATCTTGTTTAGTGTAATTATTCTGTTCCTATTGTTCATTGATGCAGCAGCAGCAGAAACAACTAAAAGAAGAAAAACTTGTCGCACCTCGAGCACAAAACATGGCTGTCAAAGAGAGAAAATTGTATTTCCGGTTTTCAGTTGCGTAATGCACTGTGTGTGTATGTCCCTTTCTCTCTGCCTCTCTCACTCTCGTTTTCTCTCTCTCTCTCTCTTTCTCTCTGTAGCTGCTCATTCATGTGTCATACGAGTGACATTGGCATGCATATTTGGTATCCCCCAGGTAAAGCTGACTAACTAATCAAAGCCCGAATAGTTCAGCAAAAATTGTGGCTAAATGTTGTTTGTCATCCATCGCCAGAGCTTCCCAAAAAGTTGCCAATGCTATTTATTCGAGATGCCTGCCAGCGTTGTCAAAACAATGGTCAAAGCCGGGTCAACTCACGGCCCAGAGCACAGAGCAGCTGACGCCGGACAACGAACAGCGGACATTGGACGTTGGACGTTGGACAACATAGCAAAGCCGTAAAGAGCATATAGACGGTTTTGGGTGAGGTGACGTTGCCGGAACTGCTGGAATGGAATTTTTGCCAAAGAGGCAGCCAGATGTGGCAAAAGGCTTGCTATGAATTTCAGAAATGCCATCAATGGGACGGCTCTTGACCACCAGCAGATGATGATGTTGCCAACTTTGCTCCAGAGGCGGTGCGCTGCAATGCCATTGAAATGTGGCAAAGTGCCTCAAATGCCGCAAACGATGCTGCACATTCACACACACACGCACACACACACACACGCACACATACACACACACACACGCTCGCACGCACACTCATATATGCAACATAGGTGTGGCATTGCGAATTGTGGCAGCATTTCCAACACAAAAAGCAAAGGCAGCCAGACAATAGCAACAGATGCTGCAAATTGGTAGCACAAATTTAAGACTTCTAAATGAAAATGTTCAAAAGTTACGGGAAGAACAACAACAACAGCAACAACTTGTCTATTGGTGTGAGGTAAACACCCAGGAGAAATTCTCCATAGGCATCGAGAGTGGCATTAAAGTAATAGAAAAACTCGAAGAAGCCATCGACTGTGGAAGAGTACAGTGCTCGGAATTAGTAGTAGAAGAAAAGTTATCAAAGCAACACGCCACACAGGAGTCGGAGCAGGAGTAGAGCAGCAGCTAGGGCAAAAGCACTCAGACAGAGGAAGCTGCAGTTGACCAGCAAATGTTTGACATAGTAGTTTGAAAAGGAAGCAGCTGAGGCAAGTACAAAGTTTCTACTACTTTCACGACAAATTTAACCCGCACGGATTCTACTCCTATTGCTACGAGGACAGGAAGAGCACGAATAGGAGTAGAAGGTCTATTCTCTATGCATTGGAATAGGAGTAGGAATTCAAGATCTAGTCTAGTGTAAGAAGTAAATATAAATCTAATCATCTTTCATATTCCAATGTATAGAATATTTTAAGTGTAAAGTTTAAAAAGTGAATGTCAGGTAAAGTTAAGCAGGATTAGAAATTCAAGTTTTAATCGCACTTGTTATACCATAGTATAAGATGATTAGTATAAGAAGTGCATGCAAAGTTGAGTAGAAGTAGAAAATTCAGCTCTAGCCTCACCCCAATACTATTGTATAACATGTTTAGTGTATGTAGTAAGTGTAAAGTGGAATAGGAGCAGAAATTCCAATTTTAATCGCACTTCTTATACCATAGTATAAGATGTTGAGTATAAGAATTGCATGTAAACTGCTCATAGCACATCTTATACCATAGTATAATCTATTTAGCCTAATATGTAAGTGTAAAGTAATGTAAAGTAAAATAGGAGAAGAAATTGAAGTTCTCATACCATAGTATAAGATGTTTAGTATAAGAAGTACGTGTAAAGTCGTAGTAGAAACTAAAGTTTTAATTGCACTTCTTATACCAAAGCAAATGTATACCAAATTTAGCCTAAGAAGTAAGTGTAAAGCAATATTAAGTAAAATAGGAGATGAAATTGAAGTTCTTCTTATAGCATAGTATAAGATTTTTAGTATAAGAAAGGAACTCAAAATGGTATTGAAGTTCAGCTTCATGTTCTTGTCGCACTTTTTGTCAGCATAAGATGCTTAGTATAAGCAGTAAGAGTAAGGTAAAGAAAAATGAAATGGGAGCAGAAATTTAAGTTCTAATCGGACTTCTTAAACCACAGTATAAGACATTTAGTATATGTAGTAAATATAAAGTTAAGTAATCCGCAATAAGAGTAATAGTTGAAGTTGTATGGGCAAGAAATATACTAAAGTATAATAGGAAGATTCGAAAAGTGTCAATTCGTAGTAGCTCAAATGGTTGTAATAGGTGTAGTGGTAGTGGTAGAAATAGCTATAAATGTGCAAAAAAAGGAAGAATATTTGTAGTTGTAGTAGTAGTAGTAGTAGTAGTGGAAAACGTACTAGTAATATATAAGTAAAACTATATACCCAAATGGGAATCGAAATAGTCGAAGTAATAGTAGTAGAAAGTGTTGCCAATATAGAGTAAAAGTGCTAACAGTTATATGGGGAGCGGGCGCAAAGAGTTTAAATGGTAGTAGTTGCTGGGAAAGGTACTATGGGAGTAGCATAAAGAGTCACAGAAGTAGGTGACGTAAAAAGGGGAGGCACAAAGGGTTGTAAAAATTAATTCTAGTACTCCGGGTACAGGGTAGAGGTAGAGATACAGGTAGTTGAATCACATGAAACATTGAATAACGTAAAAAAGAAAAAATGAAAGGAAAAGAACAAAAATTGTTAGTAGTGGCACACGCTAGCAAAGCCTAGAGCCGTACATGACAATGGAATAATAAAGAGCTGCTAAACTCCTGTCTTTCAATGTCAGGTGTGTTCCAGCCATGTTTGCTGTTGTTTGAATTGTTGATTATGCTCTTATCATAAATTTATGCTCATAGTATGTATACGTAGTTGTCACAGAAACTTTGTGATATGGATGGGATTATGAATAGTTTATGAAGCTCGTGAATGCTGTATACGAACTCAAATCATATTTAAAGCATGTAAATGAAAGTCTAGATGAATTGAAATCATATACACATATACATATATAAGCAAAAAGGAGAAATCATATCCAAACCAAAACCGAAAATGATGTACAGAACTTTCAATATGTATATGTGAATCTACTTGGCGTTTGGCACTTACCTTTCGCTAGCAATGCTTGAGTTCCTGGACATTGACTTTGGTGACATCTCAAAGTCCGAATCGGAGCGATATAAAAAGGATTCGCGACGTTGCGGTAAATTCTGTAGAACCAAACCAGCGCTGGGTGAGCCGCCCTCAAGTGGTGATCGGGCGCCCTGGCCATTTTCTACATCGAAACTGTAAATGGGGGGAAAACGAAAAGAAATATGAATATGATTATCATTGCAATTATTCAATTGATGGCATTATCAATAACTTTACGAGCTGCCCACTGTGTGACCCCAAATAATTGAAAGTCGACGCTTTTAGGCCACGACTTGAGTCCTGTTACAGACGGCCGTGATGACTTGACACAGCGAACTTTTCAGCGCCAACGGAAGACAGCAGCCAGAAGTGGAGTGTGGTTTGGGCGAGTGTAGTTAGCCATGGGGTTAGGGGAGGGATAGGGTAGCAATGGCGACGACAACGACAACGACAGCGACGAGGACGACCTACAGGAAACGGAAGCGCGCCTAACAAGGCGCTTTTAAAGTTTTTCAATTCGTTAGACATTTTCGCCCTTTGTCTGCGTCGACGTCAGCCGCGCTTGCTTATGAAAACTTTTGCGCCAACTCGGCTAAAAATGTAACAACCCCTCTCCCACGCACGCACACACACACACACACACACACACACACACAAACACACACACAAATTAGAAACAGCCTGGCCCCAACTCCAGACCGCGCAACCGAATGTAGCCAAGTTTATTGAGAACTTGCGCTGAAAGTTGACTTCACTACAGAGCCGCATTTCCCTCAGGCCGTGTATTCAAGTCGCGCCAAAGTTGTGCCACTGATCAAGTTAACGCGCGGTTGGCAAGGATCAACTTTTTAAGTAAGCCCGGCTAGGTGGGCGTCTTCAAATAACCACCAGATTCTCTGCCCCAATTCGGATGGTTATCCATTTTGTTAAGCAAGGAAGCTTCGATTTCACACTAGCTCCAAGCCAGACAAGCTTCAACTAGTTGCGAATTGTAGAGCATCGACAGTAGACGAACTACACTCAAAGTACAGTTGCCACCGAGTCTGAGCAAATTAGATTCATGAACTAGGTGAACTAGTGTTCAGTGAACTGGACTAGTGTTGGTTTATAATGAACAATTTGTGCAGCGAATAAAGAAGTTCCCATGACGACTAGTTCCGCTAATTCTTTCGGCTTCTTTGAACCATAAGTTCCATTGTCTTCTGCTGTTCATGAGCGACAAGTTCCACTAACTAACTAGTTCCATTGACTTATACAACTGTTCATGAACAACAAGCTCCCTTCCCTTGCTCTCTTGTACATGAACCACAAGTTCTAATAACTTATTCTCTTGTACATGAAGAACTAGTTCCATTGATTTATTCTACTGTACATGAATAACTAGTTCCGTTGACTAGTTTAACTGTACATGTACAACTAATTCCATTGGCTAGTTCAACTGTTCACGAACTACAAGTTCCGTTGACTTGTTCTGCTGTTTATGAACAAGTTCCAGTCACTTGTTCTGCTATTCATGAGCAACTGGTACCATTGATTCATCCTGATATTTGGGAACGCTTAGTTCCACTGATTGTTCATGAACAAGTTCTTTTGAGGTACTCAACTATTTATTGTGAGAGACTTCAAGGCACGCATCGTTCATAACCTGAACTGCGACGAAAATAAATGTATTGATCAATAGGAATTATTAGTTTAATCAGTCGCCCATAGATGTCGCTGTCTGCTCAAAGAGTTGCACGACAGAGAGAAGAAATGGAACGCTAATGTCATTTGTCTCTATGAAATGCAATTGCCAGCTATTTGTCGTGCGGCAGCAGATGTGGCCATAGAGACAGAGATGGAGATGGAGGTAGAGGCAGAGGCAGAGGCAGAGGCAGCGGCAATCTGAGGCTGGCATCAATCTAAGGGCGTTGTCATAATTAAAGAAATTACATTCATAAGCAGAAGCAGATATCGTGCGGGGGCGCGCTGCTCCTTAGCTGGACGCTGTGCGACGCAGCTGTGTCCTTGTGCCATTCGTCCTTCTCGTCCAGCCGCTGCCACGGCTACTGATGCTCTGCTGCTGCTGCTGCTGGCATTCCTTATGCTTGGGAATGGCTCCTGTTGCCGTTCGCCTTGAAGGCCGTGACGCTTTTGGCAGCGAAAGTCGTAAAGAAAAATGATGTTTTAAGTAAAATTTATATCGGGGTCATTAAGTAAACTTGGCACAAAGTTGACGCTAGCCTCTTATTGTTGCTGCTGCTGCTGCTGTTGCTGCTGTTGTTGTTTTGTGGCCCCGCCCACCGAGCAGCCCGCCCCATTTTATTGTTGTTGCTGTTGTGCGCAACAATGTCGCCATTTACCATGGCATACTTTGTAGTACTTTTCAAAAGTTATGAGGCAGGCGGAGTGTGGCACAGTTTGCAGTATTTTAGTATTTCAGTATTTCAGTATTTCGTCTTTGGCATTTCACTACTTTATTTTGTTTTTTGTTTTTTTTTTTTTGCAGTTTAAAGTTGGCTCAACTTTCTGTTTCGCTATATATACACATATCTGTGTACATGTGAGGGTGTGTGTGTGTGTGTGGGTGTCTGTATGTGTGTATTCATATACTTCATTTCACACACACAATGTTGCCAGAGAATTGAATAATTTGTGTGATTGTGTGTGTGTGTGTGTGTGTGTCTCTCTCTCTATAACATATATTCGCATTGTTCAGCCTGCTACGTGGACCTGGCTGATTAATGTCGTGCGTCCTCATGTCTGCAGTCATTCAGTCAATCCCTTATTCATTTGGCCATTCATTCAGTCGTGCATACAATCATTTCACATCCAGCGACTTCCTACTTAACAAACTAATTAAGTTGGCGGCATTGCGGATCTTAGCCGCTGCCTCTGGCAGCAGTTGAATCTATGCGGCAGCAATACACAATCAGAGCACACACACACACACACACACACACACACAGAGAGAGAGCCTCTGACACACTCATCACAATCAGCTCGGGTCGTTCATTTATTTGCACATATAATTAGGCGCATGAGGAGCGACAGCCGTGGGGCACATTTCCTGCCTGCCTACAACAATGACAATCTGCCTCGCCTCTCGCTATCTGTGGCCGCAGCTACCCGTCAGCCGACCCCCCCCCCCCCCCTGGCTAGGTGTTGGCACGCACGCGACGCGCTAATGGGGCATGCAACATAAATACATGTTTGTTGTTAGCCTGGCTTTAAGGCCAAAAACTCAGCTCGACTCAATGAACTGCTGCATAGCTTCCTCACTTTGCACAACCCCTCTCCCCCTACCCCCCATCCACCCCCTGTCGCCCTGTGCATTGTCTTGTGTTGCCTTAGAGTGAATTATTGAGTCGCTTGGAATTTATGTCAGCCACTCGCATTGCAGGCAGCCTCATTAATGCGCTGGCTTACTAATGCAACGGCCAATGAATGGATTCAATGAATGTATTCAAAGCGCCACTGCCAGAAAGACCTTGGCCACAATATTCCCAACAGTAGAGGCAACGGCAGCAGCTGCTTCTGCTACTGCAACTGCAACTGTTACTGTTACTGTAACTGTAACTGTTAGTGAAACCAAATCCAAAAACCAATCCAACGACACATGCAGCACTTGTGCGGCAGCTGCCTTTGAGAGAGCGAGAGAGAGACGCGCACACATGAAACTAACACAAGGCCATTAACAAAAGCCTGAGACTGACTGCCATTTCTGCAATGGGCACGGCCCAGGCCGAGATGCGGACGGGGCTTGAGTTTTGCCCAAAAGATTCGAGAAGCTGCAGGCAGCGCTCTGGCTGCTCAGTATAAACCAAATTAAAAGTGCGAGGCGAACAGCATGCGATATGAAATGAGCACACACAGACACGCACACGCACACACACGAAGAGCGAGCACAGCATGGCACACACACACACACACGCACACATGACCAGTCACCGTGTTGCTACCCATTTGAGCCGCATCGCAGCTACCTTGGCTGTTGATTTTCTGTTTTTTTTTTTCATGCTGATAGGCATAGCAAAAAATTGCGCGTGTGTGCGTGTGTATGTGTGGCACTGCTGCATATGCATGTTGCATAATTTTCGGCCGTGCGGCAAGCAGCAAAGTGCAGGCAACTGCTGCCCAAGTAGCGAGCCCATCAGAATTTCGTTGATTTTCATTTCATTGCGTTGCGCATTTGATTAACCGTTGCAACAGCTGTCGCCTGGCGGCCACCAAACTCACACACACACACACACACACACACACTAAAAACAAAAACAGAAAATACAAATTGAGCATGCAACATCTTGGCAGCACAGCGCTCGACGCACATTGCACATCATCCGGCGTGACTCACCCAAGAGCCGTGAGCCATGAGCCATGAGCCATGAGCCAGCAGTGAGCACATTGACTAGTTCATTGGACTTGAGAGCACGAAATTGCTAAAGTTCAAACGAGGCACATTTGAAATTGGTTTAAAAATTGTCTAAGCAAACAATAATATCGTAAAAATGTAAAAGTGTATTAAAT